CCGCAGGGATCCAGGTGAGGCGAGAAATCCCAGGCATGCCCAAAGCAGCAGGATGGGAAAGCGGGAGAAAGAGGATTAAAAGCCAGGAACTCGGACAGAGGAGCAGTCAGCTGCAGGGATCCAGGTGAGAGAGAGAACCCAGGCATGCCCAAAGCAGCAGGGTGGGAGAGTGGGAGAAAGGGGATTAAAAGCCAGGAACCCAGACAGAGGAGCAGTCAGCCGCAGAGATCCAGGTGAGTAGAGGGAACTCAGGCACGCCCAAAGCAGCAGGACGGGAGAGTGGGAGAAGGGATTTAAAGGCCCAGGAACTGGGACAGAGGAGCAGTCAGCTGCTGGGATCCAGATGAGGAGAGAGAACCCAGGCACACCCAAAGCAGCAGGACGGGAGAAAGGAGATTAAAAGCCAGGAACCCAGACAGAGGAGCAGTCAGCCGCAGGGATCCAGGTGAGGCGTGAAATCCCAGGCATGCCCAAAGCAGCAGGGTGGGAGAGCAGGAGAAATGGGATTAAAAGCCCAGGAACCGGACAGAAGAGCAGTCAGCTGCAGGGATCCAGGTGAGGAGAGAGAACCCAGGCATGCCCAAAGCAGCAGGATGGGAAAGTGGGAGAAAGAGGATTAAAAGCCAGGAACTCGGACAGAGGAGCAGTCAGCTGCAGGGATCCAGGTGAGAGAGAGAACCCAGGCACGCCCAAAGCAGCAGGGTGGGAGAGTGGGAGAAAGGGGATTAAAAGCCAGGAACCCAGAGAGAGGAGCAGTCAGCCGCAGGGATCCAGGTGAGTAGAGGGAACTCAGGCACGCCCAAAGCAGCAGGATGGGAGAGTGGGAGAAGGGATTAAAAGGCCCAGGAACTGGGACAGAGGAGCAGTCAGCTGCCGGGATCCAGATGAGGAGAGAGAACTCAGGCACGCCCAAAGCAGCAGGACGGGAGAAAGGGGATTAAAAGCCAGGAACCCAGACAGAAGAACAGTCAGCTGCAGGAATCCAGGTGAGGAGAGGGAACTCAGGCATGCCCAAAGCAGCAGGGTGGGAGAGTGGGAGAAAGGGGATTAAAAGGCCAGGAACCTGAAGAGAGGAGGAGTAAGCCGCAGGGACCCAGGTAAGGGTGGTACGAGAGGTTTCCAACAGGGAGACAAACCTGTCTATCGGTTTGTGCTACTGTGGTGATGTGTTGATGTGAGTTTTGAGGCTGAGCCACTGGTGTTTCAAACCCAGCGGGATACACATGGTACCCAGGTATTAGCCCAGCTTACAGACTGAGACAGACTAGGAAGAAGGAAGAGGCCATCTACTTCTAAAAGAATTGGTCAGGGAAAACTTTATGAATAGCAAAGAAACACTGTTTGACACATTACTGTGCAACTTTATGAATAGTCCAGTTAGGTTAGAAGGCTCTCAAAATAGGACTGGGAAAGAACTGCATCATCTGAGTAGACCCAGCCTTACTCATATGGATAAGGTAAAGCTTTCGAGACCTCCATTTGCTGATGTGGCACCACTCAAATTGAAGAGAAACAGCCGCAGACATCCATTAATCATTGGAACATGGAATGTACGAAGTATGAATCTAG